AGAAACAGAAGAAAAAGTTTTCAAATATATACAAACTTCAAAGAAATTTAAAGTACAATCTACCTGAAACAAGAATACCATGTTATCAAATGAACACTCAAAATAAGAAAATGCCTTTGGGGGGAAAAAAAACTGAGATCCCAACAGATTGGAAGATAAAATTGAGGAAAATCATCCAGAAAATAAATAAAAAAGATAAGGTGAATAAGATAGATAAGAGAGTAAGAGGATTGTTCTGGAAGTCACATCCACTTAGCAGGTGATTCAGAAGTGGAGAACAGGGCCGGGGATTTAGCTCAGTGGTGCCAACGCCTGCCACCTGCCTCGCAAGCGCAAGGTCCCAAGTTCAATCTCTGGTATCAGAAAAAAAAAAAAAGAAAGAAATGGAGAACAAAGAAAAAAGTGGACACATAATTACCAGAGAAATAATATAAGAAAATGTCTTAGAACTAAATTATGCAAGTATTCAATGGCTGGAATAAAATACACGCATACACACACACACACACACACACACACACACACACACACGAGTACATTATCATGAAACTTCAAAATGTTAAAAGAAAACCCAAAAAATTTCTAGAGAGAAAATATCAATTATAGACAAAGCATCAGAAATCAGAAGGATATCAGACTTCTAACAGCAACATAAGAAAGAGGAGGATGGAAGAAGAAAGCCTCCGTGTGATGAGGAATCTCGGCCAGCAGCTGGACAGAAGCGGGCTGAAAATCTAGAGAACACATGAGGGATGAGGGAAGCGAGGAAATTTCCAGGGATGTGTTAGCCCACAGGAAAGATCATTGTGAGGGGCTGTGATAAAAAGTCACTCCAAAAACTAAGCAAACAGAAAAAAGAGAGAATGTATTTAATCATGAACGTATTATTTTGTAAAAGTGCCAGAGATCAAACCCAGGACCTTGCACATGCTAGGGCAGCGCTCCATCTCTGAGCTACATCTCCAGCCTAGAGAGAATTATGAATTTTAGGAAAGATAAAAAGGTTAGAAGGAAGGGTATATTATGACATTATGTTATTTGGCTCAATAGGGAACACTATTTTCATGAACATAATGATGAAAATTCTTTTTTTTTTTTTTTAGGTACTGAGGATTGAACCCAGCCCTTTACACTGAGCTATATCCCTAGCCTTTAAAAAAAATTTTTGTTTTGGGGCTGGGTATTTAGCTCAGTGGTTCCACTGCCTGCCCCACAAGTTCAAGGACCCGAGTTCGATCTCTGGTACCAAAAAATAATAATAATAATAAAAATAATAAATTATTTTTTAAATTTTGCAACAGGGTCTTGCTAAGTCTCTTAGTTGTCCAGAATGAGCTGGGACTTGTGCACCTCTTGCCTCAGCTTCAAGTTCTGAGATTCCAAACATGTGCCACACACCCAGCTCATGCAAGCTCTTAATACAAATTCAGCAAAAGGTTATGATAAACATCATCTTTAAGCTGGGTATGGTGGCACATTGTAATCTCAGCACTTTGGAGGCTCAGGCAAGAAAATTGCCACAAATTCAAGCCAGCCTGGGTTATATGGTGAGTTCAAGGCCAGCAAGAACCTCTCTGAAAAAACTGAGGGGGAAAATTCTGTGGAGAGACATAAGGTACATGGTGTATGGTTAGTGAGTTAGTTATAAGTGTTAAATCTTTTATCTGGAATAAATAAATGATAGCTAATATTGAGAAACCAAGAAAGAGCAAAGAGCATAGAAATATAGAAATGACACCAGAAGCAACAGCTAGAAATCTAAAATGGCCTCTGGTGAATAGGATTAAAGTGTAGAGGAGGTAAAGAGGAATTTTTGTTTTTCATAACACTGGCTCTTTGTGAACTATTTACATGTCTTATTTTTATAAAAATAAATTTGAATTTTAAAACTTACACATTAAAATTTGAAAAGACAGGAAGAGATAGTTCTCAGAAAAAGAACTTCAAACATATGAAGAGGTAAAATAAGAGATACGCAAATTAAAACTGAATGGAGATATTCTTTCTCATCTATGAGACTAACAAAAATTCAAGTTTGCCAGAGAGACAACCACAAGTTCTCACTTGTACATGGAATCTAAAACAATTGCTGTCATAGAAACAAAGAGTAATGATTACAAGAGGTGGGGCAGGGAAGGGAGAGATGATAATCAAAAGGTACAAGTTAGACAGGAGAAGTAAGTTGGACTGTGGGTTTTTGATTTTTGTTTTGAGAGGCATTGAACAGTACTGCACACCTCAGTGTCACTGGGAAAGTGAATCTTAGATGTTCCCATCACCGAAAATGTCAAAGGTCTGAGGTAATGGATGGGTTGGTTGGCTTGATTTGGTCATTCCTCATTATACTCCAATATAATGCTATATTCATAGCATCTCTTGTACCCTATAAATACACACAGCTATAATATGTCAATACGTCATTTTAAAAATTCAACTAATACATGCTATCATCTTTTATTTAGGCTCTGGGGAATGCAACATGATTCCATGCCCCTCAAGAAGAACCTGATCGTATCCACAAAGACTGCAGATGCAATGACTCTGAAAACCTTTTCCACGAGTGCATCGCCGGACACTCCTGTGTTCATATAAAACGATTTATAACAAGGTTATACTTATAACACTGTCTGTAATAGTAATAAGAGATTAGAAATGATCCAAATGTCTGTCAACTGAATTGGTTAAATAAACCATGGTCAGTTACTTAGCAGAAAGTACTGATTTTCTCAATGAGTAAAGCAGCAGAAGAAAACCTCCATAATTTTACATCCAGCTGCCAGGCACTCCAAAGCACAGAGAGCTGTGTCAGAAGCCACGTAGACACAGAGCCTCCCTGGCCTTCTGAAGTCCGAGCAGAAGAGGAACTTGGCTCCTACCCCCTTTCAAAACCTTAGATACCAAGCAAGAAAGCAGTGAGGCAATGCCAGGCTTCATGCCAGTCCCCACGCCAACACCTGGCGTGGCTACTCTGACATGAACTGTGACACCCAGGACCTCAGCTCCTCATCTGTAGCACGAGGAGGATAAAATCTTCACCTCACAGGGTTGCTGTGTGCACTGAGTGGCTGGTGTATGCAACACGGGTGGCACTGGGCCTGGCCCACATACGTGCTCAGCAAATAAGTTGTTACTAGTAGCAGAGAAAAAGAATCCTGTCTCAAGGACTGTGTTCACTATGGAAGGAAAGTATGCTGGAAATCCCTCGATACTAATCTAAAGTCAGCCCTTTGCAGAAAGGAATAGAAGGAATTTCCCTCACAACCAGGAAGTTTGGGGAGAAGCTTCCTAGCCCTCGTGTGCCTGCAGCATCTCACAGCTCCAGCCTGCTCTAGGGACTGGCAGGGACCTCCCCTGAGTCTCCCAGACCAGCAGACAGAACCCAGACACTTTGTGTTTAGGATAAACCCAAAGGTCAGAGAGGGGCAGTGATGCATCCAGGGCACACAGCCCGCAGGCCTGTCCCACAGGTAGGTCAGCCCACGAACAAAATCACTAACCAAGTATACTATGCCCATCTTCCAGTGATTCCAAACAGAAAGGATGAACCTGAAACAAGTACCGAGGGCATTGATAAGTTGGCTTTCATTCTTCACCCCCAAGAAGGGGATGAACAGCTGCAAGTGGCCAATGCTGGCAGAGAAAGCTACACACTTATCAATCCCAACCCAGTTTTACAGCTATGCCTACACTTTATCTTCACACGCCTCCTGTGGCAGGAAATCCCAAACTTGCCCCACGGTCCACACAAGGATTTCTAGAATGAATGGAACTCCTGCTCCACCAGTGGCCAGACAGGCCATGTGGGGTTCCATTTTCTGCACAAGGGAACATCAGCCACCTTCATCACAGTATTGGAAATATAAAATGAGATAGCTACATCTGTGAGTGAACACCAGGCATGATTCCAATGCCAAAACTCCTTGTCTCCCCAACATGTGGGAGCAACCCAGCCCCATGACAGCACAACCCGCTCTTTGAACTCCAGAGAAAGATTTCCCCAGGTGCCTCAGAACAGTGTAACATTTTCCTTCTTAATCTTCTGAACCAGAGTCAAGAGTTAAGAAGACTCTTGCTATGAAGAATTGTAAGGGTATTTTTTCAAGTTCCCCGAATGCCTTCTTGATCCACATGGCCCTTATAGATTGGTTCCCCACCATGCTCACAACGGTTGGGACAATGCTAGATCCAGCCACCTTCACTGGGTTCCTGATTCTCCCTCATTCCTACCGCAGGGATTTGCTAATGGTAAACATTCATTATAATAATGGTTCATAGCTGAATGAAGCAGAATCAGGTGAAGAATTTCAACAAAAACATATTGAGCATCTACTGTATGCTGGGCACTGTGTAAGATCCTTTTCATGCTTGTGCTTAATTATCACAACAGTGTGCACAGGTAATCATCATGGTCCCCACCTTACAGGTGACCAAATGGATCCTCAGAGCACTATAAAACCCATAGTCAGGAAAAGGCCAATTGGGACCTCCTGGAAGCCACTGTGAGCCTGAGTTTGTTGTCATAAGGGGAATCTTTACATCTAAAGTTTTTATAATTGCTCCCCCTCTCAATGAACCCCATATTTGCAGCAAGTTGTTTGCTGCAAACAAACAGGGGCTGCATCCACACCCTTTTTCCCTACCTCTGTTGGTGAACAAAGACAACATAGTGTTTCGGACACATTAGTCAGACTAAGGAAAGAGGAAAAAATCCCCATGACTTAAGCAATTTTCCATCCTTTAGAACAAGGGCGTACACACAGAACGAAGGTTCACCATCATACACAAGCATTGATTTTTAAATGTTGCCAATCAATCTCTGTCAAAATGTGGCTTAAATACTAAAATCTAAAGTTTAATAGCTGTCTTTCTTGTATCTTACCAAGACACACAAGCTTTCATAGATATCTACATAAACATAAATGTAATAGCAAACTACTTGGATTGGGCATAGATTTTCCTCCCAACTTGCACCCCATTTGACTGGTTCTAGGCATGCTGACCTGAAATAGTTGCTGGCCGCAGCCAGCACCACGCGGTGGCAGGAGAATTCCTGGATGTCCACACACAAGATGACATCTGTCAGAGCGTTTTCTACTCGGAGGGTCTCCAGGCCATTCTGAAGAATTAAGGCGAGTTCCGCATCATCAAATTTCACCTTGTCCTCATTTAAGATTTCCACCATGTCTCCCCTTTTCTGGGAGGGCTCCTCTGCACCAGGTGCCAGGGGCCCTTCCAAACTCTTCTCTACCACATCGTCCATGGTCCAGGTGCCCCTTTGTCCTGCCATCCACATCCAGACTGAAGGAGCTCCCAAGTCTCGGGCAGGTCACATTGCAGAAGCTGAGCGGATTTCCTGTGCCGGGCCCTCCACTTATCACTAGCTGTCACACACACATAACAGGAAGTCTCGCACTTTCTCATCCTGTTACTACAAACGCCGGCAAGTCCTATTCTTCTTCTTTCTGTGAATTTTCACCAATTTAGAAATGACTTAGAGTGGGTGTGTAGGAGGGGCCTCCGGGTGAGAAGGGGCGGCTTCTCCAAGTGTTGTGTGGTTATTTTGGTCCATCTCCCACCTCACATCCGTGAGCAGGAAGCCTCTGGTCTGGTTGTTGTATTTGTATTCCTGGTGCTTTACGAACCCCAGGCTTTCATGATGGGATGGGCAGGGGGTATCCACAGCCCTCCTGCTGCCTCCTTCAGGACTCTGAGACCCATGTGAAGCCCTATCTGTTCTTTGGGAACCCTGAAAACCCCTCTTATCCCTGATAGCTCAACCTTGTCCTATGCACATTTTCTGTCCTTGTCTCTCTGCTCATGGAGAAACAATGTCAAGGAAAACATGAATGTCCCCCATCCAACAAAAATGTCTGGTTTTTTAAAATATGCCTGGAGGAGAAGGGAAGGAATAGTTTCTAGAAACCCTCTCCCCAGGGCCTTTGTCTTAAAAGACCAATCAGGATGGATCAACCCTTGACTGCCCTAGCAAGTCTCAAGGTATCTGAATCTCACCCAACATCCACTAACCGTTCCTCTGATGGTGGATGAAGTATTTTTCATTATCTCAAAACTCCCTGTATCCTACGGAATTTATAGAACCTAACATGTTTTTATTAGTACATGTTTGCAGTACATTATGATTGGATTTATTGCAGAGAGTTGATTCATAATGCACTGTTATGGGTGTGTCTAGATGTTCCCCCAAAGCCTCATGCAGTCATAGGTGGGACTTTGCAGAGGTGGCTGGATCTAGAGTGTGTGGTGCTGGGATCGATTCAATGTGCAATGCTAGGATCAAGGGCACTAGGATTAAAGGTGTGAGTGCTGCCTGCCCTAAGTAGCCTGGATAAAATATAAGGGACAGAGAGAGCTGTGACCATCCCCTTGTTGCTTTGCTGCCTTCTGCCCACCATGAGCTGTTTCTCCTCTGTGATGCTCCTCTGCCCTGCCACCCTGCCTTGGAGCCAGCCGATTATGGACTGCAACTGTTACAAACTGTGAGCTAAATAAACCCTTCCCCCTTTAACTTTAGGTATAGGGTATTTTGTCTCAGCAACAAGGGAAAAGTAACTAAGACACATATACATCTTAATTATTTTTCACCCCCACCCCTCCTATCCCCTCCTGCTCCTTCCAACTCTTGGTGGTCTTCCCATTCACAAAAAGCTCTATTCCATTCTTTTCTTTCAGTTTTTTTTCCCATTGCCTCTCCCTCCCTGACCTCCTCCATCTCTATATATTTTATGTTTCTGATTCAAGAGAACCCATGTGATATTCAAGTTTGTGTCTGTGATCTATTTCACTTAAAACTGTTATGGTCTCAAGGTGGATCCATTTACCCATGAATGCCTCAAGTTTATACTTCTTCGCGGCAGAATAGTACTCCATTGTATATAAACATATTTCCTTTATCCATTCATCTGTGATGGGCATATAGACAGTTTCTAAGATTTACCTATTATTAATTGCACTGTTATAAATATGGGTATGCATGCATCACTGTGATATGGTGACTTTACCACTTCTAGGACGACACCTAGGAAGAAAATAGCTGGGTCAAATTGAATTTGTATTTTTAGTTTTTTGAGGAATCTCTACACTGATTTACGTAGGGGTTGTACTGGTTTACATTCCCACCAATAATGTAGATGGGTTCCTCCCCTCTCCATCAGCATTTGTTATTACTTGATTTCTTGATGATAGCCATTCTTTCTGGAGTAAGATAGTATCTCAATGTTGTTTTAATTTTCATTTTAAGGGTCAGTAACATTGAACATTTTTTCATGTATTTATTGACCATTTATTTGTACTTCTTCTTCTGAAAAGTACCATTTCAGTTGCCCATTTATTAATTGGATCTTTTACTTAGAGGAGGTCAAATTTTTTTTGAGTTCTTCATATATTCTAGATGTTAGTCCTCTGTCCAAGGAATAGCGAGTAAATTTTATTTTTCCCATTCCCTTCCATTGGTTGTTTCCTTTGTTATGCAGAAATGTTTTAATTTGATATGATCCCATTTGTTGGTTCTCAACAGTATTTTGGGGCCATTGGGATTCTGTTCAGAAAGTGTTTGCCTACACCTATGTCTTCAAGAGTTTTACCTATTTTATCTTCCATAAGATTAAGCATTTCTGTTTTAACCTTTGGATCTTTGATCCATTTTTATTTTAGTTTAGTACATGATGAAATATATGGGTCTAGACTCAATCTTCTGCATTTAGATATTCAGTTTTCCCAGCACCATTTGTTTAAAAGGGCTGTCTTGGGCTGGGGATTTAGCTCAGTGGTTCCGCCGCCTGCCGCGCAAGCGAAAGGTATCCCGCATTTGATCCCTGGTACCAAAAAAAAAGAAAAAGAGGCTGTCTTAGTCGGGCATCCTGGTGCACGCCTGTCACCCCAGCACTTGGGAGGCTGAGGTAGGAGGATCACCACAAGTTCAAGGCCAGCCTGGACTACATAGTAAGCTCAAGGCCAGCCTGAACTACATAGTGAGACCCTGCCTCAAAAAGAACCAAAAAAAAAAAAATTTTAAAGAGTGTTCTTCCTTCAGTGTATTTTTTGGCCCCACTGTCAAAGCTCAAATAGCTGAATGTGCCAGGGTTTTTTCTCTTTCTTCCTCTGTTCCATTGATCCACGTGTCTGTTTTTGTGCCAGTACTATGATGTTTATCACTGTAGTTTTGTATTTATAACTTCCAGTCTGGGATTGTAATGCTTCCTGCTTTGCTTTTGTTATCCAGGGTTGCTTTTGCTATTCTGGGTCACTTATGGTTCCATATGAATTTTAGGATGGTTTGCTCTAGTTCTGAGAAGAATGCTATTGGCATTTTGATTAAGATTGCATTAAATCTGTATATCAGTTTTAGAAGTATAGCCATGTGGACTACATTAGGTCTACATATCCAGGAACATGAGATATCTTTCCATTTGCTGATGTCCTCTTCAATCTCTTTTATCAGAGTGATGTAATTTTCATTGTACAGATCTTTCACTTCTTTCATTAGGTTAAGGCTTAAACATTTGATTTTTTTCTTGATGCTATTATGCATAGTATTGTTTTCCTAATTTCTTTTTTAGTAAGTTCACTATTAGTATATAGAAACACTATTAATTTTTTTGTATTTGTTTTTTATCCTGCTATATTGTTGAATTTAGTTATTAATTCTAGGAGTCTTTCATTGAAAGTTTTTGTGTCTTCTAAGTAAAGAATCAGGTCATCTGGGGGGCGCTTCGGGCTCGCGCGCACCGGCCCCCCGTACCGTCCCACCCGCGCGCCTGCCGTCCCGGTGGCCGTGGGCGCGGCCCGGTTTCCGCATCCGCCTCAGGACGCTTCCGTGCGTAGTAGGGACGGTCCCCACCGCGAGGGCCGTCCAGAGTGTGCTTGCGAGTGGGCTACCTCGACTTCCGATCCCCCTCACTTCGGGCCTCTGAATTGGCACATCTCATTTTCCCCCAGGCCTGTGGGTACAGTTACCGAGATCACTTTCCTCCTCAGGGTTTTCCGCAGACCTCCACATGGTAGAAGGGACTCAGCAGAGAATGAGAACCTTATCCTGTCATCTGTGAGCCATTCTTCCCACCTGCATTCCCACTGTTTGCTGTCCTCCTGTCTGCTCTACTCCTGAATCTGGATTTTGCGGAATGTCCTCCCAAAAAGTCATTAGAAGGAAATGCCAAGTATCGAAATTTTGTCAGGAGGCGACGGTTCTTGGAACAGAGAGGATTTCTGAACAAAAAGAACCAGCGTCCTAGTAAAGTACCTAAGCCACACTCAGAACCTACAAAGAAAGGGGAAACTCCAAGAGTGGACGGCACTGGGAAGATCCACCCTCCCCAAAGAAAGAAGACAGCTGCCTCGAGCGACGGCTCAGAGCAGTCCCTGGACCAGAAAGCTGCGGTGTCTTGGCTGACCCCTGCCCCTTCCAAGAAGACTGATTCTGCTGTGGGTAAAGTAGATTTGCTGGGGGAGTTCCAGAGTGCCCTTCCCAAGATTAAGAGCCCCCCAGCCCGCTCCCAGAAGAAGCCCCCTCAGAAGAGTGCTGCACAGAATGCCCCCCAGGCGCACTCAGACAGCGTTCCAGGGAAGATGGTGGCGACAGACTGTGAGAGGGTGGGCACGGGTCCCAAGGGCACGTCAGCTCCTTGGCTCGCTGTAGCAGCATCACCTCTGACGGGGATGTGCTTTATGACGAGTACGTCCTGCCCCCCCCCCGCGCCCCACCGTGGACGACCGGACCAGGTGGCGTGGCATCCGCAAGCGCCACATGCTGAAAGCCACCCCGTTCAAGACTGCGCGGAGCCAGATCTTGAAGATCCTCTCCGGGAAGGTCGTGGTGGGACACGCCATCCACGACGACTTCAAAGCCCTGCAGTACTTTCACCCCAAGCCCTCACCGGAGACACCTCCCAGAGCCCTCTCCTCAACCGGCAGGCCAGCGGCCCGGAGAAGGCCGCCGTGTCTCTCCAGACTCTCACCAAGAAGCTGCTGGGCCGGGACATCCAGGCTGGAAGAAGCGGACACTCCTCTGTGGAAGATGCCCAGGCCACCACGGAGCTGGACAAGTGGGGTGAAGTTGAGTGGGAACAGCACCGGGCCCAGAATCCCCCGAGAAACTAGCAGCTGTGGGGCGGCAGACACAGCACCCAGGAGACTAGGCCGCGGCCTGGGGAGCTGGCCTTGTTGGGGGAGAGGCTTCACCCCACTCAACAGCCCTTACAATCTCACCTCACTCTTGTGCTCTGTGTCTGGTTACGGGTCCCCTAGAAGGAGACGTCTTTGTGTCGAACCCAGCCCTGGACTGTTTACCTCACAAAGGGTGCTAACCACAGCCCGGGGTCCTCCTGCCGGCCAAGCGCAGGGCATCCTGGGAAATGTAGTTCCCATCCGCCTTATAACTCTGGCCCTTTGTCTCGTCGAATGGGAGGCTGTGTTGCCTGGTGTGGCCTTGACTGCCTGGGCTCAGCCAGTCCTGCCTCAGCCTCCAGAGTAGCCTGGACCTCGGGCACACATCACCAAACCCACAGGTCTTACGCTTTTACTTCTCAAGTAATTTTTTTTTTTCTGGTACTGGGGATCTACTCGAGACCTTGCGGTTTCGAGGCAGGCGGCGGCACCACTGAGCTAAATCCCCGGCCCATACTTCTCAATTAACTGACAGGAGCTTTTTGCTTTCACAAGCGTTGTGGGGCTGGGTGAGCACCTGCCTCACAAATGTGAGGCCCTGGGTTGGCTCCCCAGCACCCCCACCCCCCAGTGTCCCACTTGGACCCTGAATGTTGGTCCTGTTCCGTGTCACAGGCCCTGCTTTGGGTGCAGAGCTGG